ATCTCAACCAAAAGTGAGGTCAACACACCCTTAACAATTCCGATGGTTTCTCTATCCCCATCAGCCTTATAAATAAAATCATTTCTATATAAAGTGCCCATGGAAATCAAATTCTTCTTCAGATCTGGAATATTCCTGACATCACCTAATGTTTTAACTGCGTCATCATACATCTTAATTCCGACTTCTCCAAAACCAGCAATATTGCAGCATCTATCATCACTTAGATAAACTGTGACAAAATTTATTGACCTATATGAAGTAAACTACTCTCTGTTAGGTGTTATGTGATAAGAGCATCCTGAATCAAGAATCCACATGAAACAAGAATCCAAAAATCATTGAATTGAGTTGATGAAACTGAAAATATATCGCCATCACTGTAATATAAATTGTTACTCTACACCCACTCTACACCACATTTACAGACTTTGATGATCCATCACCTTATACTCTACACCACATTTACGGACTTTGATGATCCATCACCTTTCTCCCTAGTCTGTTTCTTGAGCTTTGGACAATCTCTTTTCCTATGACCTGACTCCTTGCACTTGTAGCAATGAATTTTCTTTTTGTCTTTGGACTTGGATCTGGAATTTCGCCTTCCATAACCCTCCTTCTCTTTCTTCCTTCCACGATTCTGCTTAACCTTAACATAAAAGTTGTCGCCATTAGAGTTTTTTCCTGCATTCTGTTTCCGCTAGTTGTAAGCCAACAATATTGCAGTAATCTAATCAACTTTGATAGTTTCTTTCACATATGTAAGAGTGGTCACTAGGTGTTCATAGGAAGAAGACAATCAACACAATAGAATCATTGTTCGGTCTTCATCCTCAATATTCACATCAAGCCGTGATAAATATGTGATTATTTAATTGAATCTATTAACATGCTGCGTCAGATCAAAACATTCTTTCACCTTTATCCCATACAGCTTTTGCTTCAAATACAATTTATTTTTCAGAGATTTAGCCATAAACTGAGTTTTTCAATTTCTTCCATACATCCCCTAGAGATTTTAGATTCATCACGTGATACATAAACTCATATGTCAAACATAAATATATGGTTGTTGCCGCTCGTTGTTGTAATTCTTCCCAATCTTCATCTTCCATGACATCTAGTATTGCAGCTCTGAGATTCTAAATTTTATATTCTATACTCTTTTCTGAATATTGAAAAGGAAGTCGTCGCTCTGCTCCCGAGGACGTAGGCATCTTTGCCGAACCTCGTAAATCCCTGTGTGTTCTTCTGGATTTGTGTCGATTCCTATTTTTCTTCGCCCTAATTTCTCAACAAGTGGTATCAGAGCTATACCTAACACATGAACAAGGAACATAATAAGGAAAACAAATATTTGAATCAAGCACCGCTCCTCTCTTCACCAGAGAACACCCCATCTGCTCCATCAACCTCCTAAGCTTCGCATGCTTCGCCGCCCACTGCTCCACAAGCTTATGCTCATTAGCCTCCACATCGCTCATCAACACCATCAGCTACTCATAGGATTTATGAACCTGGAATAATATTAGAAAGCAAAACATGCAGTGCTGGGTTTAGATAATGCTCATTTCCTATAGTGTACAAAATGCCAAATGTAAACCCATTCAAAGAGTCTAAGATAACTAATCTAATATCATAATTAGAGTATCCTAATAAAAATATTATACGGCATTTACATACATACCACCTACTTCTTAGTATTTACATATATAAAACCTAAACATTGATTTTTACTCTTATTCTACCCAAATATTTCATATCAAACAAAAATACTAATGTTTTAACTTCTAAAAAAACGAAATATACTTTTTTCGTATATAAATAAAGTGACATATATGTAAAATTAATATTTTTATGTGTGAATAAATAGGAATGAAATGGACACACACAAATTATTAGCGTATATCACAAATATAAAAATAAAATTTTCATTAGAAACGTAAGACTGAGTCCTTAATATATATTAAATTGTCTAAATTTTCATTTGTTGTTTTTCCATCATAAGTATTGCACCATGTAAAAATATCACACAAGGGCGGCGGCAAAGTCATGTCAAAGTAATTATTTAGAGTTTAATTTCTATCAATAATTTTAAACATATATTTCACTTTTTAAAATTACATAATGATGATATTTTCAAATTTAGTGTTAAAGATTTGAGTCCTACAAGTAAATATGAAAATTTAAGCGCTATATATAAAAATAAAGAAAGTTATGTATTACTTATTTAATGCCCTTTTTCTTAGGGATCTATATATATGCAACATAATTCCTTTAAATTTACATGTATGATAACTGAAGTTTGATGTTTATTTTTGTTGTAGGCCTTAAAATGTACAACAAATGTTTATTTTTGTTGTAGGCCTTAAAATGTACAACAGTAAAGTGATAATTTATTGTCTCAACATTGCATAAAAATCCATTATACACATATATAATAAAACCCTAATAAGAGAAGATATCGTGACCTTTTATCTGGAAAAAACTAATTAAGGGAAAAATTCATTAGGTCTTGCTGAGTTAAAGTAATCAATTTTGTGTTTATAAGTAGATGAGTTTACTCTTCTCATGAATTAGAGAATATGGAATTGTAATACTAATATTACAAATTTACAATAATTATTCAGCTATAATAATCATAATTGGGTTACGACGACAAATATAATTGGTCATGAAGGTTATAGTCAGTGGCTACAGTAGCGACACTTGACCATAGAGATTGCAATTGGAAGCTGTAATAATTGTATTGTAGTTGGTTGCTGCATGGACAATTGTTGGCCATAAAGATTATAATTGAAAATTATAGTATCGTTAGTTGGTCACAAATGTTGTAATTGGTGACTGCAATAGCGCCGGTTGACCACAAAAGTCGTAAATGACGAGTGTAGTAGCAATTGGCCACATAGACCGTAGTTGGGGGTTGTGATAGCGTCAGTTAGTCATAAATGTCGTATTTGGAAGTTGTAGTAGTATTTGGCCACATAGGCTATAGTTGGGGCTGTAATAGCATTGATTGGTCACAAAAGTTGTACTTGAAAGTTGTAGTAGTAGTTGATTATATATGTCGTAGTTGGGAATTACAATAACGTCAATTGGCCACAAAATTTATAGTTTAAAGTTGTAGTAATATTTGGTTATATACACCGAAGCTAGAGGCAGCAATAACATCAGTTGACCATAATGATTGTAGTTAGAAGTTGTAGTAGTAATATAACACGGGTTGTAGTTGAGCACTGTAATAACATCAGGTGGTCATAAAGGTCATAGTTGAAAGTTGCAATAATAATTGGTCATATAAATCGTAATTGGGGGCTGCAATAGCGTTAATTGGGCAAAAAGGTCATATTTGGAAGTTGTAGTAGTTGTCAGCATATATCAGTAGTTGGTGAGTAGACCACTTCCCTCATAGCAAGGTTATCGTTTTATATTGGACACTGCAATTATTAGTATACAGGGTAAATAAAGATATAGGCGTTAGGAACAATCGACATGTTTTGGCTTTGAAAGTTGTTAGTAATGGTTGTTGGTGGCATATAGAGGACGACGACAGGTGGTGACAACTGGTTGTGGTTAGCTGCTATGGAGAATGAAAGCTATCACTTGGTCTTCAGTACGATATTATTCATTACGATTGTATTTGCATTACAACGTTAACAAACAGGAGTCGCTGACAACGGAGATATGGGGCTCTCGACAGTGGTCGATGATGGCGTTATACTATATGAACATATTTGAGATACGATGTTACATGCAGTGTTCATAGACGTCCGCCAACGAGGGGTGACCAACGAGTGACGATTTATGACAGTTGGCCATTACGAAGGCCAAAAATTATTGTGGGGTCTCTAACACTGTGTTATACATTCCAATTGTATTTATGATACGATGTTAGCAAACAGGGGTTGCCAACAGCGGCAAGTACGGGATGTCGTTGGTGGTCAACGAAAACCGACAAACGATGGTCGACAGTTGTTGAGTTGACAATCACAGAAGCCGGAAGTTATCATCGTTTTTTTAAATTCAGAACATGCTATGAGATTCCTTCTCTTGTCCTCTCCCTCTTAAGTGAAGAGGGTGAGTCTTTTCATAGCTTTCAGGGTAGGTTCATTTTGATCTTTTGATGAATACCTTCCTCAACTAGCTGATCTAATTGCTTGTACAAATCGCCCTTGATTATTGTGGTTTTTTTATGATTTGAGTGTTTGAATTATCTTGAGATCCTAGTTATCTTAGGCTTATTGGATTCTTTTAGTCGAGAAACTGGATTTAACAATAAGTATGTCAAATTTAGAGTTCATATGAACATTCAATTATCGATTTGAAGCCTTATTGAAATTCAGGTTTTGGATGATCATGAATTTAAATATTTAATATTATTACCTCTAAATATGCTATAATGGTTTGATTGGACTCAGATTGAACAAATTTTGGTATTTTGAGGTTCGTCTTATCAAGATAGTCAGTTCGACTATAAACTTATTGAAATTCAGGCTTTGGATGATCATGAATTTAAATATTTAATATTATTGCTAAGAAAATACATAGAGATTCATGTTAGATGATAAAAATTTATTGATGATGCATATCTTTTTATAAATATTCATCACCACAACCATATTAAAATATGCACATAAAAAATATATATTGATAAGATATTTTTCTATGAAATGTTAAAAACTTTTATTAAAAGTAAAATTAATGTAAGTACAGTAGAGATATGAATAATAGAAGACCCAATAAGATTAATAAAGATGAGATGGCTAGTTATAATCCTTCTCTATTTCTAAGGAAGCATCTCCAATTTTCTTAATAGATATCGAGCTTATACTAAAAACCTTCTTTTTACTAATTTTTTTTTTCTATGTGATCATAAGAAATGCAAAAGAAAATCTTTATTTTTCATCAAAATCATCATTTTTAGATCCATGAAATTCATCGATATATAAAATCTCAAATTTATTTGGAGTAATAATTATTTTTATTCTATGGCGGAAAATCAGGATTGCGATTTGGGACTGAATTGGTTTGATACAATTGTTCGACTGCCGCTCGCTATCTAGGCGGCGCCGCCACCTTCTCCGGCGTTCCTCCCCTGATAGTACCTCCTCATCAAACGTTGCAGCTCCTCCGCCACCTCCCTCATCGTCGGCCTGTCCTCCGCCTCCACCATCAAACACCTTGTCGCCACCTCCGCCACCGCCTCCCCCAATCCCCCCTTCCCAACAGCTTCCTCCTTCACCCTCTCCTCCAACATGTCCACCAACCTCCCCTCCGCAACCCATTCCCCAAACCGCTTCCCCAACTCCACCCCCTCCGACGACACTGGCAATTCCCCCGTCAACAGCTCAGCCATCACCACCCCAAAGCTATACACATCTCCTTTCTCCACCGTCCACCCAGCAAATCTCTTAGACTCCGGCTCCAAATACCCTTCCCTGTCCTTCTTAATCCTCAGAAACGTGAAGCAGCCCACCATCATCAATCTGGCCCCAAAATCCGACACCTTGGCCTCCATCCCCTCGTCCAACAGTATATCCTTTGCTTTCACCCCGCGATGGAATTGCGGATTGGGGATGGCAGAGTGGAGGCAGGCCAATGCATTCGCCGTCACCGCCGCGATTCTCAACCGAGCTTCCCAAGACAGGGAGCCATGGAGGTCGTGGATGTGGTGGTGGAGTGTTCCATTGGGCATGTACTCGTAGACCACCACAGGGAACGGCGTTTCATCGCAGCCGGCGCCGAGGATGCGGACGATGTGCTCGTCGGCCGGCAGATTGGAGAGAATGAGCAGCTCGTTTATGAATTGGTCGATATGGTGCTCCCCAAAGGAGATCCATTTCTTGACAGCAACGATGCGATGATTAGTGTTGTTGTCATCGGCGGCGGGGAGAAGGCCTCTGTAGACGATGCTGTCGGTGTTGCTTCCTGGGCCGATGATGCGGCTTTCGCTGTAGCCGTCGGTGGCTAGATCCAGCTCCTCGGCGGTTAATATTTGGAAGGTTCGAGGAGATAGATTGAGTTCCGTCAGTCGCTGCCGGAAGATTTGGCCCGCGTTTTGCTCGAAGAAGTTTTCATCCATGGCCTGCATCTATTAATTGGGAGGAGGAGAGCGGTGAAGAGCACCTACAGTTCTTTATAGGGAAATTCGGCTCAAGCGCAGGAGTCAACGCTGTAACTCAGTACCATTGACTCATTTATTTTACATATTACGTAATAAATTTAAATTAATACAATAAGTGTTATTTGAACCCCAGATCTGGGCTTGAGATAATAATCCATGGATAAGCATGCAATTATAAATAATATTAGTGTTATTTTTTATGTTATATTAAAATTTTGAGGTATATGTATGTAAATATATGGTGTCCTAAGTATTTACATGTCTAACATCTAAATTTTACTTCTTTGACATTTATGTCAACCAAAGCTCTCATTGTTAGCGTTGGCGTGGAGTCCGGTCCACCCAACCCACGAACTTCTGCTCCCACCTCTCCTTTTGTTTCACACAAACTTCTGCTCCCGCCTCTCCTTTTGTTTCGCGAAACGACGCTTCCGATCGCGAAGTGTCACACCTCTTCACAAATAACCACTCCCTCTTTTTTTTTTTGCGAAGAGAAGCATCCCTTCGCCAGAAACCGCTCCCGCCTTCTCTTTCCCGCCTCCTCTATTTCGCGAAGAGAAGCATCCCTTCGCTCCCTTCTCTTCGTGATAAAAGGAGAGTCTCTCTTTCATATCTGGAAGATACAAGAAGTCGCAATGTTCTTTTTTAGGTTTCCTCGGGATAGAGGAATAGTTCTTCGGGTTTCCGGCTTCCTCAGGATATAAGGAAGGAAAGTACAAAAAGTAGTTCCTTGCGGTGAAGAAAGAAGAGAGAAGAAGAACAATATTGTTCTCTCTAGGCTTCTTTTTGGTGGCTTGTGGCAGGAGAGAAAATGAGTTTTTTTTTCTTGTAAGT